TGCGTGTGTTATTACATCTGTACCCTGCTCACTAAGACATTTCCCCGTAAACACCAAGTTGACTTAGCAGGTATAGTAGTCATCAGTAGCTGTCAATCAACAAGTCTTGTTGGTTACATGCACTTAAAATGGGAATATTAAAGTTTGAAAATGGTTATTTTGTTAATGGCTACCTTTCTTTGTGGGCTGGCTTCTGCAAACAGGGCTCAAAGCTAGCGTTGTGCCATATTCTTAAGCTTACAAACAAAGAATATTTTTTCATGATTTTTTTTGCAAACACAGATTGACAACTGCTGGAACAAGCCTGAGGTCAGAGCCAAAGCACATTGTGTTTTTGTCACAGCTGCTTCTCCTTTTCAACTTTTGCCATGTTTGTAAGACAGACAACCCTTCAATAGAAGCCAGGCAAATTGGAACCAAAGCAGTGGTTACAAGTACATGCCATAACCCAAAGTGCCCAAAGCAAGTGACCACTTGGCATAGTCAGCCAACCATGCCAAACTCAGGAATAGCAGCTGGCAATTTCCTGCTATGCATGGCTGTACTGCTAGCTGGAGGCTCTGCTACGAAAGTCTTCCGGATATTTTCACACATGGGTCTTGGCTGTGTGTCCCTCAACACCTTCTTTAAATTCCAAAGGGTAAGCCTATTTCAGTGCTGGTCACGAGTTCCAGTTAATTGCAGGCAATGATATAAATGAATATTATGGTACAGCTTAACTAAAGTGCAAATTAGTTCCACACTACAGATGTAAATAATATTATTAAAGTGATTAATTAAAATTAAAAAAATTACAGATACCATGCAGTAGGTAAATGATAACGTAATGTATTTTTATTGTTCTGTTTGAAAACATATTGAGCAAAAAGCTGCTGCATGCTTTACAAAGCTGTATGTACGTAAACTAATGTTATTATTATTATTTATTGATAGTATTTTTTTTCATTTGCAATCTTTTTTTCAGAGCAAGCTCTTTCCAACAATTTCACTTTATTGGGAAAAATATCAAGCGAAATTGTTGGAAAAGGTGAAAGCTATCCAAGGGGGCATTGTGTTAGCGGGAGATGGAAGACATGACAGCATGGGACATAGTGCCAAGTTTGGAGCTTACACTATGTTTTGTTGTACTCTGCCGATGATAATCCACTTTGCCCTTATTCAGGTGAGAGTGAAAACTCATGGTTTATTCTGCAAATGTTAGTGAATTTTACAGCCAGTGTTAGCTTTATTTTACGTCACCACTGCTGATGGGATTATATAAGTACATAATTTTAGTTCACTACAGTGATACAACCTGGTGGGAATGACTTCGATGAACTTTTTTTCTTATTATTATTTGCAGAGAAACCAGCCAGGAAGCAGTCCTGCCATGGAATTCATGGGCTTCAAGCAATGCATGGAATTTCTGTTGGGCTGTGGGGTTTTAATAACCACATTCATCTCTGATCGCCACACCACCATTGCAAGCCACATGAAGCAGGTGCTCAGCAACATTACCCATTACTTTGACATATGGCATTTGAAGAAGAGTAAGTATCCTCTGATAAAGTAAATGTGTAAACCTGTAATTTTTCACAGTGATTTCCTTGCAGATTTACATTCTCCAACAAAACTGGCAGGCCTTACTGACACTGCAAACTTGTATGTTAAATATTCAAGTGAATTATTTTAGAACACATGTGATAAAAAAATTGATATTATTGTTGAAATCATTAAACCACTCAATGTCCTTCATCAACACCAATCTTTGAAAACCACCCGGCTGACTGAAATGTTAACTATGAATGGTCCATGACACTTATATTAACCTGTGTGGTAGATAAAATCTTTACATGCTGTAATGAATATAAACTAACAGTAAATGTACAATTTAAACTTAATGGTTGTAATGTTTGCTTCCCTAATTTTTTTGTGTACATGTAGAAATAAGAAAGGTCCTGAGCAAACTGTCCAAAGAGAAAGGTTGTGAGATTTTGGCTGAATGGATAAAGCCGTGCGAGAACCATTTGTATTGGAGTGCAACCACTACCTTCAGCGGCAATGGGAAAGTGATTTGGGCAAAGTTTAAGACTTTCTTAAGTCACATTATTAACAAGCACTCTTCCCTTGACGATCCCCTTTTCAACAAGTGTGGACATGGACAAATACACCCAAGAAAATGGCTTCATGCTGGTATGTTTCATATCAGAAATATTAGTATAAAAAGGGAAATACTTTTCCCATTTGCCTTAAATTATGCTTGTTTATGCGGTAGTTTTATCTAACACAGCATAGCAGATATCCCGGCCTGGTCACCCTTGTCATCGGGGCCAGGTTGCTCAAAGCAGGCTTATGATAACCCAGGGTTAATGTGAAATTTGAATTGAGATATGAAAGCGTAAAAAGTAAAGTAAGTTTCTTTCTTTCTACAGCTTGATGACTGGATGCAGAAAGAAACCCTGATTAAGAAATGACTCTGCCCTGCCCCACTTTCAATCAACCGGATCCTGTAGAATGAAATGTTGTGTTTGCCTTTCTTGTTTCCTGCTTTTAGGTTCTGTTGCCTATGAAAAGCTTTACACTGCCTTGACAAGAAATAGCCTTGTGAAGGGAATAAAACAAGCATCACCTTTTGCCCAAACTAGCTGCCTGGAAGGATTCCATTCACTACTAAACCAATTTGCTCCAAAAATGATAGCATATTCTTATGTTGGAATGTATTGCAGGTAAGAATAATCTCCGGCTCCACTAATTTTGCTAAACAAAGAACTAAATAGGTTTCTTTTGTTTCCTATTTTAACAAAAAAAGGCCAATGCATTTTTTGCATACATTTTTTCTTGCTAAATAAGCTAAAACTGGCCAAAAAAAATGCAGGGCAATGTCTTTCTGTTGAATCAGAGGTCACATGGAAACATTTGCGCTGATATGGAAGAAAAAAACATCCAAAATGTGTGTTCAAAAAGTGTTATTCCAAGGCCTTCATTATTAAATGATATTACATTTTTGTAGTTTAGTCTGTATAACCTCTTTTTTGAAAATATTGCCCGTTTTTATTTTCAGGCATATTCTTGCAGCAGTTCATTTCAATTTCAACCTGCAAAGGGAAGTTAAATGCAGAGAAAGAGATGGAACTGAACGGTGGAGAGTGTCATACCCGAAGTTCAAAAATGGGGAAGCAACAGTGCGCAATGTTAAAATTACCCCAAACTTTGGTAAGTGTCAGCGAGACACTGAAATTTATAATTTGGGGTAACATTAATATTCATGTTTGAACTTTGCTTATGAGTTTATGATATTTCAAAGTATAAATAAGTAAGTTAATGAGGTGGAGCACAGTACATGAAAATTCAGTATTTTGGAATTATTTGTCTTTGACAAAATAATGTAAGGTGTAAAACAAAGTATTGCTTGCAATTTGCTGTATAAAAATCAACTGGTATTATCGGATCTACCTATTACTCAACACCCTTAAAAGGTAAGGCAAGTAAAACTATGTACATTTGACTTCTCTTACAGAATATGTGGAGGAACTGTTTCAGATGTACTTAAGTTCAAGCAAAGATGAATTGCAGCAGGCGGCTATGAAGCTTAGAAACATGACCCCAGCACCAATTAACACAATGTTGCAGAAGCAACCAAGAGAAGAAGCCATTGCCAAGAAAATCAATAGATCCAAAATGGTTGTGGCTGATGTCCCCCCAACCTCAACACCAGGTAATTAGTTACACACTGTAACCAGTGATCAGTAAAATAGAGATGGATTTCATTTATTGAAACGGTGGGATGAACAGGACTTAAAGAAATGCAGAGAAGAAAGACTGAAAAAAATTGAATTTCATATCCAGCTTCCTGTTAACTTGCCACCTCAATTGATTAGAGTGCGGCAATGGTATCACAGAGATCAGGGTTGGAATCCCAGCAAGCCTGAATTTTTTCAGGCTTTCTTTACACAACTGCATAAGTTGTGTATTTGACCGTAGTGATCTTTTCTGTTTATAATATATAGAGGGATGAATTTTGTGGAAAAAGGAGTAAGGATTTTCATCCTCACAACCCTTTCTATCAACTTTAGTGGAGCTGCTGAATTGTACTGTATTCAATTTACTTTTTTTCCTAGTTCCTGATGAACCAGTTGCAAGCACGAGTTCAAATACGAGGAAAAGGAGAAAACAAAAACAGAAAACTCCCAGAGATGGCCCCAAGAAAGCTCGCTATTGCTCTGCGTGCAAAAATCCCATGAAAGGACACAAGAATATTAAAGATTGTCCAAAAAATAAGAAATAGTTAAAAAAAAAGAAAAAAAGAAAAGTTTAAAAGCCATAGTGAACATTGTCTCTGTCGAGCTTTGGTTGTAAAAGTTTTGAGTTATACAACATATATACATGTACGTATTGTGATGGAATTGTGGTCTTTGTATATACAGACAAAACTGGTCAGCTATATCCATCCTTTTGCAATTGAAATCAGAATTCTCGTAAAAATTATGCATAGCCTTGAAGGTTGGTTAGCAATAATAACTCTTTAAGGAAGCTTACCAGCATTACTTAGCAGTATTAAAGAAAGGTCAAAGGATTTTGGTGGGAAATATATTGAAACCAACCAGTCAGCGGGCTGTGTGTATAGTCGTGTCTAGGACTAGGGGATTTCGGGGCCTGACCTTCTCTTATCAGTGACACATCTCCTGATCTCTCAAGGGGCTATAGGAGATTGCTGATTTTTATAATGGAGAGGAAAAAAGGTTCGTGCTAGCAGAGAGGCCTCTTTCGGCAGACAAAAATAAATTTTCATTGCATAATTGAGTTTTTTATTATTTACAACGAACACCCCTAGGGTGGTACTCAACAAATTATAGTAGTAAAAGCTACAGTTCATTATGAATCTACTGTTTACGTCAACAATGATGAAGTGAAACAGACAGTGAAACAGATGATCAACAATTTAATAACACAATAATTTACAAGGGAAAAAGCCTAAAAAGTTTACTTAATCGTCTTCGTCGAGTTCGAATCCAGTGTAGGTTTCATCTGTGCCGACAGGAAATTGTTTTCTTATCGCCGTGAATTATCGCCGTGTAAGCACACGCAGGAAGAGGAATTCGCTTGTTTCCCAGGAAACCATAGACAAGCCTGGAAAACTCCCTGTAGGCAATGCTACGGAAGTAACTGTAAAAAAAAAAATAAATAAAAAAATAAGAACAGTATTTAATTTTGGCTGGATGATGTATTAAAGAATTTTATGTTTTCAAATCGAGTGTGTGCCATATCGATCGTATTTGACTCCAATGCGGCACAAAAATGACAAAAACTATCTCACCTTTCTTCGGATCCAGTTTGTCTATATCTCTGTTTGGCTTTGGTCTTGACACGTTCGCCAGCCATACGTAAGCTCCACTTTTGAAGGCAGACAGGACCAAAACCAGGATGTTGTGTGATACACCTTAAGGCCGTTTCGGGTTGAATATCTTCAAGAACACTTTCACTACACATGGCTTCTTTGCAACCATCTAGCTCATGGCAGCAGTAGCACTCGCTCAAATTCTGAAGGACAACACGGCTGCAGTTTCCACAGGAACACCTATAACAATCAAGGTAGCTAGAATCATACAAAATACCACTTTTTGTAGCGAAAGCTAACAACTCTCATCATACATTACAGCAGTCACGCCGCCAAACAAGCAAGTACTCGATTATTTACATAAGCTTTTACTTCGATCTTCACACGATCATACGACAAAATTGCCGACACTCACCAAGAATCCACTTGAACTGACCCTTCAAGTCTTTCCCGTAGTTCTTGCTCTAGCTTATTTGTTTCATCAACTTCTTCTTCGTACTTTTTCATCCATTCTTCATCAGCCAAGGGTTCATCGAACTGACCGGAGACGTTTGCGAAACGACCGTTGGCGAAACGACTCGTTGGCGAAACGACCGGTTTCCGCGTATGCAATGTCATTTTCCAAGCTTTCACATGAAACTTGCGACTCGCAATCACTTTGTTCATCCTCCACTTCGGCCAAATTTGCCTCAGAATCTTCTGAATTAAAACTTCTCTCAGAACTTGAATCGCTTAAAGACATATTCCTTTGAACTTTGCTCGTTTTAGTATCCCGCTCGCTTGAAATGATTTCCCCTTTCTCGCTTCTCGGTCATTTACTCATAAGTTCGCGGCAGATGTGCTCCTTCGATGACGTCACAACAACATTCGTACCCAGCTCCCACGAAAACTCGGTAATGGGACACAAGAGACCTAACTTTAAACAGCCATGGAAACGCGAGGATTTTATCAATCACGATAATTTTTTCGCAGAAGTAATCAGAAAAATAAGGAGATTTCATTTAGCGAAAAACATTTTTGGGGGTTAGTTGCACTTTAAGTTGTCACACAAACACGCGAAAACTAAACTTGCCACACAGACGGAAAACTAAAGTTGTACACAGACGCGAAAACTAAATTTGTAACACAGACGCGAAAATTAAATAGTAACCCAGACGCGAAAACTGTAAACTTGTACACAGATGCGAAAACTAAACTAGTAGCACAAACGCGAAAACTAAAACTAATAACACAGAAGCGAGAACCAAGCTAAAAGACCAACAACACCTAGCCCGAAAAACACGCCGAGGAAACAAATACAAGGACAAGAGAAAAACACCAACTACCAGAGCCGCAGGATGGGGCGCAGGAACCACGTTGTCGTTAGCGTTCTGTGCGTTGTTGTCACCGGCAGCGTCGGCTGGAGCCGGAGGCGCGACAACTGGAGGGTCAACGGCCGGTACAACAGCCCCATCCGCAGGAACAACAGGGACTTAGTTCGACATGGAGAACGAAGAACGAAGAGAATCTTCGAAGATGGCGCAGCGATGACCGGGCAAGAGAAAAAGAACGCCAAGCTAACGACTGGCGAACGTTTAACGAAAAGACAATTAAACAGGCCAAAACAGGCCTATTTATACAAAACCTGTGTGAAACAGAACACCCAGGAGACTACGAGCGCGCGGGAATTGTTATCCTTGAATCCCGAAGGGATTTGGGGCGTTTGTACGAGATGGCCCCAGTGAGAATAGATTTTAGCATAGGAAATATGTGGGTTATTTCTAAGTCAAGGTCATGCAAAGTGTGATTTTATTTGAACAGCTTACAAATGTTGCGCATACAATACAGGGCAATCTTATTCGATTTGCATCTTGGAACTTTGTTATCGTATTTTGGCATGCACACGTGCTCAAGTTTCAAGTCTAGGAAATAAACGGAAGAGAACAGACAGATTATCGTACCTTCTCGTCTCATATAGAACCTTAGCTCATCTGTCACAAAGTCGTCAGGTCTTTCTTCCTTGGTCTGGCTGTTAAGCTCGCACACTTTGCGAGGAATGTAAAAATTGTAACTCGCACACCTGGGGTCTCTTTCACAGGTGTTCTGGCACTCAACAATGGCTCTTACTGCAAACTCTTTGAAGGTGTGACCCTTGAGAGCTTTACCAGGAAATGATCTCTCTGAAATTTACATTGCCCTCCTCCAGCCTCACTTCCGTACATCCCGGATATAAGACAAATTGTGAAGAGTGCCAAGGGCATCTTGGAGTTATCGGTTTCTGAAACTTTGAAGAATTTTACACCTTATTTTTCTCATCATCCTCTCGGGTAAAGCGTCGCCGAAGTATTTAGAGTGCTCATCCCGAGGGCGACCTCCGGGGAGCACTCGACAAAGTTTTATGAGGGGAAACGGGAGGCTCCGCCCCGAATAACGCCATATCACGTGTCTCCGGGAGGGCAAGAGTGTGAGGGTGTTTCTCACCAGAGCTTCTCCGTTTGTAACGCCGTACTTACGAACCACAATTATGGTGAAACAGCTGTCAACGGCTACAACAAGCCCGCTGTTCTACTGGTGCCTTATTTGTGCCTTGCAAAGCAACTTAAATGGTAGCGGTCTTGTTTTTATCTTTGATAATTGCCGGCTTTCATAATCAGTCTCGTCCACTAACCTCAAACTCTGTGGGGTGCCACCCACACCCCAGATTCTATAGAATTCTCTAGAAAATTCGCCTCGTGATGACGCTGATTGCCATAGAAAATTTCATTGATAATGCATCCGACGCAGACGTTCAGCTATGCGCAAAGTTTGGAACCGGTCAAACTCTTGGCTATGACAAACGGATCGGACGCAACAACTCCCAACTTTGTTGGAAAAACAATGCTGCAAAACAGCTGCAAAACTGTCCTTATTTTTGCGTATTCAAGTACGCGCGAGCAGTCAAACAACACAAAAGGTCTGGAACGAGGCTGAACACAGAGAGCGAGACTTTTTTTTCTCGCCTCACACGGTGTGAGGCTCGCGCCCTTCGCGAGCATAAGACCCTTACGCCACGCTTTACCGATTTCTTTACTGATTTTGAGAAAAAAACTGACTGTTTTGAAGTCTAGCCCAACAATGTTGGGAGTTGTTGTGTCCGTTTGCCTCAACCAATCAGATCTCATTTGACGCGGAAACTAGTTTCTGAGGCAAAACTTAGGACAGAAATATGACATTAAGCAGATTATGACACTTCTTTGGGGTAATTTTTTCCTCCTCGTTCATGTATCACGGCTATTACTCCAATCTTAAAAGACTGGAAATTTATCTACATTTTATTTGAATTCAAACATAGTTACAATCTTTTTATTCTCAGAAGGGTTATTCGTCAAACACAACACTTCATAGGTAAGTTTCTGGAGTCGGATTTTCAAAGAGCTTAGTTCAAAGGCAGGATTAGATCGCGCAAAATTCGTCTGCAATTGATTTCAAATTTTTTTGTTTATAGTTGTCATTTTAAGACCAATTTTACTCAAACTGCATTTTGACAAATTTCAATCCAGAGTCAGTCAGTTGTGAAAATTTTGTGGCGATCAGAGGTAAATCGCTTTAAAGGCGATTGAAAATTATCACCATGCATGTACGAAAAAGCCAAATTGCCAATTTTCACTATTGAAAGAACTGAACTGAACCTTAAGGCAAAATTTGCATTGGTTGTGGCACTGTTAATCATTAGTTTTGATAATTAAAACGAAAAAAGTGAAAAAAAAAAACGTTTTTTGTCTATAAAATTATTAGAACATAATATTTCAAAAACGCTCTCATAGCCGATACTGTTCACATCTCGCCAAGTAAAAAACAACGGTCTTAACTATCAGCACACTAGATGATTTTAATAGCTAATTGATTAATTGATTTCGAGAAAATTCCCAATTTGTTTATATTGCATGTCAACGTTATTCTGTTGTTATGGAAGCGTACCGGCACTACAGCTTAAAAGTCATAGAACATTAAACACGAAGGGGTTAAACCTTGAAAAATGGGTGTAAGACTCCTCAAAGGCGTTTTTTAAACCAATGTCAACGAAATTTTCACACATGCATTTTAAAAACATACTAAGTAGTTAATGCGTATGAGAAAAAGACTTCTAAGAATTCTATCAAGCCATTCCTAAAAATGTTGACAATTCTTTTCGCCACCAGCAAGGTTACAAATTGGGTGGATGCTATAGGAGTAGTTCTCAAGATCGAAGCAAGGAAACAAGCAATAAACTTATGGTGTGGTAACGATTGATGTTAGACATCATTATGACTCTACTTTTGAGTAATTTTAAACCCACATAATTTATTTATCGATGCGTCTGCTACTGATAAAACCACAAATATTAAAATATTGAAATGTTTTTGTGGTTTGCTTCAATTTAAACAGAGAGATTTTTTACGCTTAAAGTGCTTTCTGCCGGGGTTGTCATGCTGCCTGTGGTTCTGTAAGGTTTTTTGCACTTTTTTCAGCTGTAAAACTATTGTTTTTAGAATTTTATGATTAAGTGGATGACTTGAAGAAGCAATTTTTTTTAGCCGCGAATTTATTAAGATCGTAACAAAAGTAGCGCCTACGACTACGTATACCGCGGCGGTGACGTAAATTGAATTTTGTGATTCGTCGTTGGTATATAACCGAAGTTTAACATCCCTCTTCGTTTGACCTTTTTTCATCAGTTTACGCCAAGAGAGCCTGCACTTTTCACAAGCTTTTGAGGTAATGCTGTTTGAAGATCTGGACAAGCGTTTTGTTTTCGAACCTATGAAGTAAAACTAATTTCGATAGCTTTTGTTGTGTCTGCTTACAGTTAATTTTTTTTATCATTTTTTCCACCACCTCAAAATAATTGTCTTTTCAAAAACATTGCGTGGGTTGTTTAGTGAGACTTGCTGTGCTCTAACTGAAGTCTTACACGATTATATCGGTAGAAATCTTCAAAAAGTACTTTTACGTTTGCAAAAGAAAGAAAAGTACTCTTAGAATTGCAAGAAACAATTAATTAGATCAATCACACTCGACTTCTATCAGTTTTAACAGTTTTTGCCGATAGAAGTATCGCATTAAGTAAAAGACACCTCATAAAGGACTTTTTTAAACTTAGATGCAGTCCCTAACATCTTTGCTCCAGGAGACGATTCGCTAAAATTTATCAAACTGAGCGAGTTGGAATTAGAGAGAAATAAGAGAACAGGGTATCCAACTACCAAATGTTTCCAAATACGTCAGAAATGCCTCAATTAGTGTTTTCTGTATGCTTTAGAAGCCTGTTTGGTTAATTTGGAGCTGCCCTTAAAACTATTCACCGTTTCGGTTGACTTAGGAAAAAGTTTCCCCGTGTCGAAATTTTTAGGTCGCTTTTTCATCTCATCCGAAACTGTCAGCTACCCCGATAGGTCCGGTGGAAAGTTCGAGGGCATAAAGTAGCCGTCCTCTCATTAGAAAATTCTAGGAGACGTTTTGACTTTATACCGAAATTTTCAGGAGACCCAAGTTCGTAATATGTTGGCAAT